CATGAATAAAAGGAGAAAAACCAACCCTGTTACAGTGGATTGATTTGGGTTCTTTCTGCCCCACCTCCTTTCTGAGCAGACTGACAGCTGTGCAAATGGCATCTCTTCCTGTGTGTTTCCTTTTCCCACAGACAGGCTATAGTTGTGGAAGGAAATTTATGCAAAAAGAAACATAAAAAACCAAACCAAACCAACCACCCTTTCAACCCCCCCCACGTCTTCTTCAGACAAATGTTAGCACAAAGTAGAAATTGACTTCCTGTACCAAGTACTTCTGAGAATTTCAGAAGTTCTATGTTGTGTATCATGAGACATGCCAGGGGATGTGAGGGGAAAGCAAAAGTGACTATTGTCTTACAGAGACATTCAGAGGGATTCCTCGGGCTTTCCCCAAAGAAGTTTCCAACACAAAAACTCCACATGTTCAGAACTTTGACTTAACTCTGGGTCGAATTAGCAAACCAACACAGAATTTTATTGTAACCTAAATATCCATGGGAAAGCTCTAGTATTTTCTTCAGTTCTGGTTTTAAGGTAATTCCTCCTTATTTCATCACTGATTTATCTAAATATGATCAAATCCCTTAAATTCGCTGGTTGGCTTGGACACCAGTTGAATTATTATAGCACATTAAAAAGACTGATTCTGAAGCAACAAATCTTTGCCTTTTTTAAACCAGTAGGCCCCATTTTTCACAAACATAAAAAATCTTAGACCATTTTCTTGGTTGTTATTTGAAGTTCTAAAAATAAATTAAACGTCATTGAAAAACAAAGAAAGTACTTTTTCCAAACTACACCTAGTTTTCTGCGAGATTGACAAGGTCCCCCTTGGTGGGTGGAGTGAATCACTGGTATGAAACATGTTGAATAATTGCCTATTTCACTACATTTAGTAGCCAGCATAATCAAGGCAATATTTTGTTCTAGAATATCTATTGCTTTCCTTCTAATTACAGAAGTAATATTTGTTAATGCAGATAATTCAGCAAACACAGAAAAATACAAAGGAAATAAAATCACTTAATGGGGTATTCTTCCACACAAAAATAAATGTTAGCATTTTGATGCACACTATTCCTGTTATTTTTCTGTGCGTGTGTGTGTGTGTGTGTGTGTGTGTGTGTGTGTGCATTGCATATGCATTTTAGATGCTCTTGTACTGTTTATAACCAATAAACTTGAACAATTCCCTTATGCAAGGCCCTGTTCAATTACACAATTTACATAAATCATCTCACTTACATTTTGATTGCTTTCTTTTCAATCAGATCTATATCTATCATCTATCTATATCTATCTATCATCTATCTATCTATCATCTATCTCCATTCTTCAACAACTTGATTTTTAAGAACGTCATAGTATCCCATTGCCTGAATGTATTCCAGTTTACCCTAATTTTTAAAAAGAATCCTGAATGGTTACATGTTGAGGCTGCTTTAAAATTTTCACCGTGGTAAAAAAGTGCCGTGAAGAATATCATTGTCCACAGATCTCTGGGTTAATCTCTGATGACCATGTAAGGCAGTGTTTGAAGCATTTCACCATTTCCCCCCATTTCTATGTGCTTAATTTACAGGGAGGTTGTTGAGTTTGATTCTGAAGGATATGGGCAGTATTACCCCCAAAGATATTTTGTCTATCAGCCGTCACGTATCTTGGAAACTTGTGGTTTGACAGGGGTATGCAGTGTGTGATGCCCTGTCTGGTGCAGTGTGAGCCCTGCTGCCATCAGGAAGCAAGCCAGGAGGAAGGCAGGTGAGTCTTGGTGAACCAGAGTGTTGGCTGGGTTACAGACGCAGCTACTGAGACTTAGAGACCCATCATCCCGTGGCTTCAGTGACAGGTTTATTCTCCCTCATGTTAACAGCCCAGAGGTCCGAGGTCAGGCCTGGCAGGGCCTTGAAATCACTTAGCTTTTACCTTGAAGTGCAGCTGCTCCGGCTCCCGCCGTCTCGTCCACATCTAGCCAGAGGGAAAGGGAATTGTGTGCCTGGTTCTGTGAGGCCAGTCGGGAAGGCACACACATCATTTCCTCTCCTCTCATCTGCTGGAACGTAGCTCCGTGGTCACATATCTCAAGGGAGGCTGGTAAATGTAGTCCCCGGCTGGGTGGCCAGATGTCCAGGTGAAAGTTAGGTGACTGGATACTGGGGCCACACACCAGTCTGAGTACTCCCGGCTCCTGGGAAAGAACCACGGAACCCAAAGTGGTGTCTCTGTCAGTGGACATGTTAGGCGATTGTGGAGCTGGTTTGCCAGGAGGAGCCCAGATTTTCAGCAACGTGACAGCCAGGAGGGAAATGTCATGGCAGATGGAGGGCACATTGATCTGAGCCCTAGGATGTGGCCCTGGGTCCCTCATTGCCCTGCAGGACTTCCTAGCTGCCGTCGTCCTGCCCCTGCCCACCCAGAGGTAGTTCTGGGAAGAGAATCAGTTTGCTGTCCAAACACTTGGAGGGTGACCAAGGAATGGGCGCCTGCGATGGCTGTTGTCTGGACCACTCTATCTTCTCTAACAAGGCCCACAGGAGGGAAGGTGTAGGGGAGAGCTGACCCGGGTTAAGGGGTGAATCGGGAGCATCTTAGGGACAAAGTGGGAAGGGACACAGGGACTCACCTAAGATTAGCTTGCCTTGTTGGCTCCAGTGATGAGGGACCATGTGCCAGGGTGTGGCCAGTGACAAGCTGGAACAAGCACAAAATGGGGCAGAGGTGGGGGCAGGAGTAGTGAAGGACCTGGGCTCTGGGACCCGTCCCACTAGCCATCCAAGCCCGTGGTCCTGAGCAAATCTCTAAGGCCCCTCCATCTCTTTCCTCATTTGTAGAGTGGGGTGATGTCTGTCCCACCTGGACCACAAGGCTGTTACAAAGCTTAGTACGATATACATGAAATGGCCTTGAAAACTGCAGAGCATCCTTCACTTAGGGGTGTTATGTCAGGATTAAGGGCATTTTACTGGGGAGAGACTTCCCTGGAGGACTGATGGAGTGAGTCATCCTAATGATCTAGTAGGAACCAGGAGTTCTGAATGACTCTTGAAGACAGGAGAGTCTGGCAGGCAGAATGACTTGCCAGATGACCTTGCTTGAGTGACTATTACCTGTCAGGTGCAGTGTTTAACCCCCGGGGTCAGATGGCCCAGAGATGTCAGAGGCCTTTGGACCTTAGTAACCAGCACCATTTGCTGACACCTTTACATCTGTGAGACCTGGTACTAAGCTCATCATAATCTTGCTTCACTCTCGCAGCTACTCTGGGAGTGGGCATTACTGCTTCTTCCATTTACAGGGGTGGAAAGCGAGCCTTGAAGGTGGGACACTTCATGGGTTGGAACAGCAGAGGCCTGCATGTACACCCCCCAAATGCTCCAAGGTACGTTCTCAGTCACCTCGTCTACTGTTGCAGAGAGCAAAGCAGTGAACATCACAGTGCGGACAGCATGTCATATCCCCTTATGAAACTTCCTGTTGAACGAGTTTTGTAGAGTGGTTATTACTCCCGACTAGGTCACTCTACAGTCTGGGAAAGGGTTACTACCCCAGTGAAGTAACACATTCACTGTGGGTGCAGATGTTATAGTCCTGTCAGGATGTATTTTATGACCTCAAGTATGGTGGCTGCATGTACACCAGGTTGTGTTTGAGATATCTCTTCGGGCAGTTTCAGGATAATTGTAATTATCAGAGAAGCAAAAAGATTTATTTCAAGTTTGGCTCCCTCAGCCTGGCTGGAAAGGCCTTAATTGGCAGGACCAATGGGCGGAAGTTCTGCCACACATCAGGGACTTGCATTTATTTATTTATTTACATTTTTGGCTGCGTTGCGTCTTCATTGCTGCATGCGGGCTTTCTCTAGTCGTGGTGAGCAGTGGCTTCTCTTGTTGCAGAGCACGGGCTCTAGGTGCACGGGCTTCAGTAGTTGTGGCATGCAGGCTCAGTAGTTGTGGCGCACGGGCTTAGTTGCTCCGCGGCATGTGGGATCTTCCCAGACCGGGGAACAAACCCGTGTCCCCTGCACTGGCAGGTGGATCCTTAACCCCTGCACCACCAGGGAAGCCCCAAAAAGCAGTGACTTCTAACCATCAGTGTACCTTCCATTGGAATACCTGCTCCCAAGAGGGGAGAAAATCCTGTGATTCCATTCTGTGCAGACACTCCTGGCCATTCCTTGGTTCAGAGGACATTCTCGGGGGCTGTGCACCCGGCTGGCTGAGAAAGCTGCCATTCCGCTGCCTTCCCTTGCGAAGTGCACAGCTCTGATGGGGACCTCTGTGCTCAGTGGGGTGAGGGAATGAATGCTTGTTAGCAGAGTAACTGCTTTTAGATTTTCTAGATTCTAGACTAGAGGAATCTTTTCGGAAATAATCTCTCTGAAAGCTTTTACAGAAAACATTACTGCCTTTAAAAGTAGGATAATGTGGAGGGTGGGACTGTAGGCCAAATCACTGGGCTCAGACAAGTCCGAATGCACACGCTGGAAGTACTTGTTAAGAGTTCAGCAGGTGAGCACAACCTGGCCCTATTTGAAGGACTCTGTGCAGCCCACTCACCTGGCTGACATGGGATCCCAGGGGCACAGCAGTAGGGGCTGGCCCACGTGCTGCAGAAGCTGTAAGAAGCGTGAAGCAGCAGAGGAGGAGCAGCTGCCAGTGTCTGACCAGCGTGGGCTCAGGGACCACTTTCAGTGTCTGACTAGAGATGGGCCCCAGCACTTGAAACTTGGAGATGACAACCAGTTTGCTTTACCTTAACTCCACGTGCAGGCTCAGGCCTTGAAGACAAAGGAAATGAGGTAAGATACATGAAGTACTTAACAGTCCCTGGTATAAAGGTTAACTTTTTCCTAAGGGATACAAGCTTCCATAAATTCCTAAGAATAATCGACACAAACTAAGTTCCAAAGGGGCTTTTAACCTTTAAACTAAGGGGATCGTGAAAGATATAAAAATAAGGCTCCCTATATTTCCACTTTAAAAGACAGTAAACATAGTATATTCTGTTCAGGAAGCATTTTATTGTTGCTCCAAGTTTAAGAACTTTCACTTTTAGGAAATCAACACTTTTAGAGAATCTCCCGCATCACTTTGCTCAGCTTCTGAATCTTGGTTTTTGCAGACATATCAACATATTTCTCTCCAATACGGACAATCATTCCACCCATGATTGATGGATCAATCTAGGAAAGAAAATAGGTTGGAAATGTGAAAACACATTGACATTTCATTAATCAAAAAGAAAGATGAAAAAGTGCTCTGAAAAGTCTACGTGCTACATAACTGTAAGCGGTAACAATTATATCTAGAAAATGACAAGTCAAATTGTGAATGGACTCAATAATCATTTATATTGAATATAACTATGAAGGTTCTACTATAGGCAAGTTTTTACATAATCAAATCTAATTTTCCACTTTCTATAGCCATTTTAGGTGTCAAACAACCTGAGGAAACGTACCGTACGTAATTAAAAACCTACCTTAACTTCCAATTTCAATACTTGGCCTTTACTTAGGAAGCTCTTCAGGACTGTTTTTAATTCGGTAAGAGTGGCTTCATCTAAAGGCTAAAAAAGAACAAAACCATCCTTTAAATTTAGATAAAGCAAAACAGAAAGTTACTATAGTTGAAGGAGAGAAAAAACATCCCTCTGGCAACGTATCACCAGGACAGGCCTTGTGAATTCCTCTCTTAGATATCTGAGGACCCATCCTGGAGTTGTGCCGCAATGGTCACTCATCAATGCTGGTGTCGGGGTGTGCAAAGACCCTGCCTCACAAGAACACATGAGCAGCTCACACTGGGAGGTTAGGTTCACTTACTGCCCATCTCTGCTCCATGGTACTAGCAGTACAACTTAGAAGTAACGATTAGGGGAAAAACCTGAAGTTTATAATGCCCGAGGATGCAGGCCTCTCCTCCGCGCAGCTCCCCCGGGTGCAGCCTGAGTCTATTATTCCCTTGGATGAAAAGCTGCAGTTTGACCTGGGATCTGCGGGTACCAGGAGCTCTGGCATGCCGCTCCACTCTCTGCAGCTCACAGAGAGCCCGGGCAGGCGGCTGTCTCCTGAAGTCAGTACAGCTCTGTAATCTTGTTCCTACAGAACAAGTGCCCTGACCATCCAGACAGTGTTCTCTCCTTTATGCCCCAACTTTTACCCCCGATTGGGTGAGAACGGCAAATGTTGCTGAAGGAGCGGCATTTCACCTGTCACAAATCCTACCTCCCAACCCACACACCCAAGAGTCCAAAAGCTAGCAAAGAAGCCTTTAAGCTCTGCAAAGATCCGACAGTGTCTTTTGGGGGGTGGTGGTGGGGAAGTCTATCAGTGCTCCATCAATCATTCGCTGAGGCTCTGAGGTTAGAGAACTCAGAAGTATACGCCCCACCTTCCATTCAGACACATGCTGCGTGCTAAGCACCCGTGTGTGCCAGGCATTTTATACCACCATCTCCTTTAACCTGGACAACTCCGGGAGGTCAGGAGTTACTGTTCCCATTTTACGTGTGGGAGAACTGAGGCTCACAGTGGTTAAGAAGAACTCACCTGGGCAGGAGGGATAAATTGGGAGACTGGGATAAACATATACACATACATATATATATATATATATATATATATATATATATACCTATAAAAAATAGATAACTAGTAAGAAACTAGTGTATAGCATAGGGAACTCTACTCAATACTCTGTCATGCCCTATATGGGAATAGAATCTAAAAAAGAGTGGATATATGTATAACCGATTCACTTTGCTGTATACCTGAAACTAACACAACATTGTAAATCAACTATACTCCAATCAAAATTAATTAAAAAAAAAAAAGAACTCACCTAAGGTCCCACCAGCAAGTGAGGACTAGTGCCAATATTTGAAATCAGTCTATTTCTAAAGTCTGTGCCCCTAGTCATTAATCAAGATGTGTATATATATATATATATATATATATATTTATATTTAAGGGTGGAAATTATTTACCCGGGAGACTCAATGTCAAAAACATTAGCATCAGTTGGTTCTAAGAAACTTACAAAATCATGTCCTTGTAATCACTGAAGAATGACCTGCACCAGTGCTTGGCCATGGGGATGGCGTGACCATCTGGCCAGGGAAGCCTGGTCTGAGCTCTATGGTCAAGGAGAACCAGTGCAGTCACGGTGGGCTCCGGAGAACATTTGAGCTGTGTTGACTCTCAGCCAGGAATGTGCTTTGGGGGCACCAACTACTGAACTACAAATGTACGAATAGGTACTATGTGCTCAAATGTCTCCTTCACGTTATGCTCTTTTGGAGAGTTAGAATATCTTTTCAACACTAGAAATGTTAATCTAGGTGAGGTCAGGTGCTGCGTACCCCAAGTAAATCTACCACGCTCTACTGATAATTAAGTCCCACAGACTGTTTCCCTACCTTGACTGAACTACAGTGGGAAGAGAATACACACTTAAGACAACAACAACAAAATTAATTCTGGGGAGGTAGTGCAGATTAAGGAACACGGAGTTCTGAGAGAGAGGCCTGTGTTCAAATCCTAGTTCCACATTCTGTGACCTCGAGCAAGCAACTTATTCCCCTGGGCTTCAGTTTCCTCACCGGTAAAATGAAGATAGTAACACTTCTGCTTCACACAGACCTTTGATATTAAAATAAAGCACCCAGAATAGTGTAGGTTTCAAAATTCAGTCCACTTCAGCGAGTCAGTAAGACCAAAGGGCCCTTCCGCCTTACCCCTTCCCACTCACCACCGCAAAAGATTAGACACGCATTTCAGTAAACTACGTAGTGTGATATTTACAAAATAACTTAAACCTTAAAGGAACGTAAACCAGTATTTCCCGACACATTTTTAACTCAATCTACACTCTTTATGAATAATCACTGGTTAGGGAAGCACCAAGAAGACACGCTGGCCCTTGCAAAGCAGAGGTTCACAGGAGCTGGTATAAATGAAGCAAACCGCCCAAGTGCCAAGCCGCCTGTCCCAATTTCTTGATTTTAGCCTTTTTCTTTTTGTTCTGCAAAATGTGACACAGGGGATGTCAAGGCAAATGCAACAGCAACAGCCCGTCACCTACAGATGCGGTGGTAACTGTGCAAGACACTTCTCCCCGGTGGACGCTCATCATGGTGGAAAAGGCAGAAATGACCCCAGCGGTATTGTTCAAGCGACCATTTTCAGCAAGCAAACCTGGGAAAGTAAAGGTATTTCACTTAAATCAGGTCATTCATGAAACATTATATTCACCTCAAACGCAAACTTAGATTTGTGGCCTTAAAATTCAATGTCATTTAAGAATGTGAATGGAGAAGATGCAACTTATTTAAAAAGAATATGCAATGTTCAAAAAAAAAAAAAAAGACTAAACAAACAAGGATTTAAATTTGTAAGGGTGTGTGTGTCTTTCATGGATTTGCAGTAGATTTCTTGACACGGCTTTCAATCTGATTTTCAGGTTTATGCCACAGATACCAGTGTTGGCCATAAATCCTGAAATTAACACACTGTCTATATTCACTACACGCTTTCTTTGAATTCTGAGTGATCATGGGATTTGAAAAGCAACTCAAATGTACCAAAGAATGCAAGTGTCTTCAAGGACAGGGGCACAGCCACTGGTTACAAACCATTTTCTTGGTATGAGTCCCACTGGTCTCGTCCATGGGTTGAAACTGTGCAATCAGACATTCTTGCATCTTAATATCCTTTAGACAATGCTCCTCAAACTTTAACGCCCAAACAATTCACTTGGGGAGCCAGTTAAGATGTAGATTGTGACTCAGCAGGCTGGGGGAGACCAAGATTCCTCACTGCCAAAAGGCAGGCGGTGCGGGGCTCCTGGCCCATGCAGGACAGTTTCAGTAGCAGAATTTTCAGAGACTTCAACAAAAAACATCTAATACTTACTGATCAGGTTGGACGTGAGGGGAGAAAACTTCTCCTTTGCTGTCATGTCATTTAGGCTTTTCATTTTAATGGAACGCTTTACATAGGGATTCATGACAGAAGCAGCCATTTTGGGTTCCTTCAAGATTTGCTAAAAGCACCAAAAAATAACTTCTTAAACTCTTTAGGCCATAAATGATCCTAGCTGCCGTACACATATGTTCTGATGAATCATATATTTCATAAATAAAATTAGCACTCTCAAAGCACATGAAGGGAAGCTTACAATCACAAAATTTTCTTTGCTTTTTAGATGATTTTACACAGTATTTCTTGAAAATACTTAAAACCACTTTAATGAAGTTTCTTAAATTTATTTTTGCCTTTCAAGAGAGATTAAAGAAAACCTAAGCAGCCAAAAGATTCAATTCACCACCTATTTTAATGCACCTACTATGGGTAATACTCTAGTTTTCCCCATGCTAAGAGGGCGCTAATGATGCCCACACTCAAGTGTAGGCCTGACGAGATGTGCTGACTGCAGGCGGCCTCTTGGCCTTTCCCTCTCAGGCTGACCCGGATTCTGTCCTGCCCCTCAGAGAGCTCAGGAGAACCAACCCAGCGCTGTGCGGGAGTTCTGGGGCTTCCAGAGCAGCCTCAGCCAGTCTGGGAGGAAAAACGGCCAAAAAACGGGAGTGCAACTACCATGAGAGACACAACTTTGTCTCCACTATGTTACATCACCAACGTCTGGTCAGTGACCACGTGCAGCTTCCAGCACTCTGCTCCCCTGGGTGTCAGGCCAGAGCTCCAGCAAACCAACGGCTGTTTCCATTTGGGCATCTTTCAGTCATGCACCTCTATTAGCCCCTCAACCCCTGTCAGCACCCTCTCCTGGGCTCCTGGACAATTTCTGTCTCTGATCCTAGCTACCTGCCTACACTGCCATCTAATGCTAAAACTTCAACTTGAGCGACCCCAAAGAAACAGTATTTTTCCATAAAAACTGCTAGCTTATACAAACTACAAGCATTCTGGAGTTGGAACCATACAGTTTTTCATGTTTCTTATCTGTTTTTGCTGCATCACCCATGGACAGTTAGTGACACCTGGGCAGCATATTTTCCTCTCAGTGCCAAGAAATGGCTGATTTTCTTTCATAAAGAGTCTTAAGGTAATGGCCTCCTCTGTATGTCTCCACATCTTAACCGACTTCAAGTTTTAATTAAACCCCATTCTAATGTCCACAAGCCAGCCACTGGCCCCTTGGCGAGCACCGGTGCTCAGGTCTAAAGTGGGTGCGTGGGACGAGCGGCGGGCAGTCACCGTCACCTCCCGAAAGCCTGTGTGTGACCCTGTCTGCTCCTGCTACCCGTCCCCCGAGTGTCTCCAACAGTAAGTATGATTCTGTGAGGGTCAGAACAGTTGACGGTACCAACTGAGATCAAAAGCGTTATCTGCAGAGATAGATGGACGAAGGGAGGAAAACAGAGCTAAAATTACTGTCTGTTAGGACAAAAGTTCCCACAAAAGCTCAAAATGAAAAAACGAACAAAACTTATTGTTCTATACAACTAGTCTGTGAAGGTTTTTATCCCCTCTAACAAACAGTAAGATTAAAAAAAAAAATCTTTAGAAGTTGTTTAAAAATTATAAGAAATTCTTAAAACATAAAATCAAAAAAAAGAACACAACTTTCTCTGGAGAGATTATATACTAGCTGTACATCCCCCTTCTTTAATGCAGAACTTACTGCCAGAGGTGGGAACTAGAAAGTACTGTACTGTAGAGTACAGTATCTTTATTTCAAGCCCGGGATGTGAGTGAAATTGCAGCCCTCCGTCTCCTGTTGCTGACGCCCCTTCTGCTCTACCATCTCCCACCTCCTCTCCCTCCTCCAGTCAGTAGCTCTTCTTGCCTGTTCACTCGATGCCAGCCCCTGGATGCCAGCTGTTGCACTGTACTACTGTACTTTTCAAGGTACTGTAAGGTTAAAAATGTTCTGTTTTTTGTTTGTTAGTTTTTATATATTTGTGTGAAAAGTATTATAAACCTACTATAGTACAGTGCTATACAGCCAATTGTGTTAGTTGGGTACCTAGGCTAACTTTGTTGGACCTATGAACGCGCTCTTGGAACGGAACTCGTTTTTATGTAGGGGACTTACCGTAAAACGAGCAGGGGAAGAAACAAAATGTGTTAACTAGAAAACTCAGGGGAAACTGCAGTGGGGATTCTTCTATTTAAGTTACACTGTAGGCTTTTGTTAATTCAGTTCATTTACTCTTCTTTTCATGTTTAAAAAACACGTAAAAATAAACTTTCCCCTGTAGCCTTGTGGTCTTTGCCAGTTCTCTATTATCGTCATGAAACTCTTGCACCTTCACTAATTTTGCTGCCCAGCGTGCTCTGCTCATTTTCTCCTCACAAAAGGCTTCATAAGGAAAATAAATTCCCAGTTAAACAAAATCATAATATATTCTAAAGACTGTTTGGAAATACCTGGAAATACAAGCAAAGATTATCAAGGTGACTTTTTAATTCTCTTTTGAAATGACAATGTTTCTTAAATTACCATCTTAAATTTAGATTTTCTATTTCTTCTCTGAGCCCCAAATCTTGGTTCCTAATATTAATATCCTTACCTGCGTCAGTTTGTACCTATTATACAATAGGTTCAGAACGATAATACCCAGTATTATTACTATCAACATCATTACAGAAAATATGCTTTTCCTTTTTCTTGCAACTCTTTCTCTTAGGATACACCTCATTAGGGATGCAGAGTCAAATATCTAAGCAAAATATGTACAACGAGAACTTAATAAGTAATGAACAGGAAAGGCTACTTACTGCTACTCTCAACAATTCCTTTTCTACTTGTTCCAGTTTATTCTGTTTAGATGCAGCAGAATAAAGAGCAGTGGCATAGCGACCTTCGATACCGTATACCTGAACAGGTGGCTTTAAAAACAAGGGTGGAGGAGGGGAGGAAGCGAAAAGGAAAATCAGTTAAGACAATACTACGGTATCAATAGCAGAAAGAAATATTTATAATTTTAAAAATACATCTTTTATAGCACAAAACAGTTTAAATATGTCATCAAAGAGCTATCCTGAATGACAAGTCTCAAAATGAGGGATGTTTCCTTGGCCAGGTCACTCTATCTGTGACCTTCCAATTTCTCACCTTAAAACGAGGGGTTTAGGAAACATGGTGTCTGAAGTCCCCTTCTGCTCTAACTATCTATAATTCAACTATGTTAATTATGAGATGAGCTTAGGATTCCTTTGAATTCAATAACTACTTAATTCCAAGTTTGGGAGGTTTTAAACACTGATAGAAGGCAGTTTTGAACATGCTAGAACCAGGCAAACAGGTGTTTATGAAACATACACAAGCATACTTTTATACATTTCAGAGTAATACTGCAAATATCCCTTACAGAGCTCCATAAATGTTCAGTTTAATGGAGCCCTTTAGCAATTTACTAAGTGCCTGAGGCTTGAATTATTTTTTACAATGAACCACTGGCTTTTAAAACCACACTACCATCAGTGTATGACTACATATGCTTAGTGGTACTGTGTGATTGTAGTGGAAAAGCTTAGGCTTTGGATGAGCAAGATTTAGTTTCAGTCCAGCTTTAAGACTAAGCTGAAGGGCTTCCCTGGTGGCGCAGTGGTTGGGAGTCCACCTGCCGATGCAGGGGACACGGGTTCGTGCCCCGGTCCAGGAGGATCCCACACGCCACGGAGCAGCTGGGCCCACGCGTCCGGAGCCTGTGCTCCACAGCGGGAGAGGCCACAACAGTGAGAGGCCTGGATACCGCAAAAAAAAAAAAAAAAAAAAAAAGACTAAGCTGAATAACCTTGGGCAAGTTTTCCCAAAGTCTGTTTCCTTTTTTGTAAAATGGGAAGACCTGCTACCTCCCATCACTGTTACCGGGTTTTAAGAAATTCTCCTACTTAAAGGTTATGCATGGGCCTGTCCCACGGCAAGCATTCAACATTATTCCATCCCCTAGCCCCTCCACCCCCATCATATTTGGGGAACCACAGATCATGCAGAAAGGTTTAGGGGTAACTATACAAAATCCATGCCCCTAAGTGTACTGCTGTCTGATTCACACACATTCATCTGCTTTACAATCACAAAAGACATACCCTCACAAGCTTGGCAAACGGCCTGACCACAGATGTACTGAAGCATCGCACCTTTAAAACAAAGAGAGTAGATCCAAATGAGACTACTTAAAGGGTTTTTGCAGTTAAACCTGCAATAATAAACAGTAAACATGACTTCTAGATGATTCGCTTCTCATGTTTCCTTGTATCATCACGTAGATTACATGAGGGTGAGCTGCTCTTTATTACCTAGGAGTAAATTTCCCCACTGGAAATCATTCCAGGTTGCTTGGGAAATTGCTTTTCTACTTCTAACTTCCTGGTTTCCTAGGAGTAGGCTGAGGCAAGCACACCACTGAGAGAGGAAACACTAAGTTTGGTGAAATGTGTCTTCCAAAAATGTTAACAAGATTTTCGGCATTTATATTACCACCCTCGAGCATGATTTTAATAAAAAGTGGGAGGATTCCAGGCATGATCTGCAAGAGATGGACCTTCTTAGAATCCAAATGCTATCTGAAAATACAGACGAATTCTTTGGGTACTCCAGCCGTCTGATGTGAGAACAGGCCCTAGTACCTTGTCTAGCAAAATACTACCTTGATATTGTTGAGATGGTATCTTGTCTATCAAGAGTTGGAATCCAGAGTTTAAAAGGCACCTGCAAAGGCACAGGTCACCTTCAGATAATTCCAGCTCTAAATGTACTATACCGGTTGTGAGGGTTAAAAGACTTTATAACACTTATGGAAAACTTACGGAAGCTGTACGCTGTCATGATATGTAAAGCATCATGTAATATAAAGAGCACGAATTTTCTTTCCAACTCTGTGGATTCGAATCTCAGCTCTACCCCTTATTGGCTGACAAGCCAAGGACGAGTCATTTTAACTTTTCGGCCTCACTTTTTTATTAAAACGTGAAATGTGTTTTTACAAATATTCCTTAGCATTACTGGTGACCCCAGCCAGGTGTGACCACCACAACATAGAGAGATCCCCCTTCACCTGTGCCCTTCAAACCAGCTGCTTCTCGAGGCTGTGCTCACAGGACGCCAAGGTAGGACACGCGCAGCCCCAAGCCCACCGGCCCGCGCGCATCCCGAGGGGAAAGCGGGGCTGCCCAGGCAGCCTGGCGTCGCCCCCCACTCGCCTGGCCCCGCGACCTTGAACGGCGGCCACGCTCCCCAGCTGTGGCCTGGAACCGTGGAACTTAGGGGTCTGGTACGAGTCACCCCAGGAGGGCTTCTCCTCCGCTGGCTTTCAGGACCTCCGTTCTCTCACCTGCAGGGAGAGCCCAGACACTACCGGCGCGGCCATCTTCTCCTGGCGGCTGTAGGTCAAACCGGAGTTGGCAAAAGCGACCAAGAGCGCACGCGTGCGTCAGCGTAGCCGCTCGGCCTGCTGGGAAATGTAGGCGTAGGTCGTCAGGCCGCATGCGTAGGGATCTCCCTCAGACTGGGAGTTGTAGTCCTTAGAAGCGAGTGGTCAGGGCTGGACCCACAGGGCTGGGGGTTGGGACTAGTGGGCTCAGACAGCACCTGGAAATGAAATTCTAGAGTTACTAAGTGACCCTTATTGTAGAATAGATATAGTGCCCTTAGCTTAAAATTTCCATTTAGATAAGTACGGTGGCATTTGTTCCATTTCACCTTCATCACTAGCATCATTAGCGTGTTTACCCTTTCTTCCTACCACGCTAAACGGTGATCAAGCGCAGTTCCTCGCGCTGTATGTATATATAAACCCCGAGCCTTACAGCTCCAGCAGCGGACACTACGTGCCCAGTGCCTGGGCCGTGACTGCTCCTGCATACCTCTATCCCACCTCCGCCCCATCTCACCTGAGTACAGCGCTGACCTCTTGGTTTGTGCGGACGCGTGAGGTTCTGGTGTTTAAACACTTCCTTCTGGGTAAGGCAGAGTGATTATCTGAGAACCATACCTAAAAATAGAACTGGTGTTTGAGCAAGTGTGACATTGAAACTGAGAACCCAACACTAGCTTTGGCTAGTTTCTCTGCATTCATAAAAACAACCTATTTTCAACCCACTTCCCTCTAAATGGAATTTACTCTAATTTTCTCTTGTGTACAGAAGAGTTGGCTGTTGGTTGGAGTTTCCTGGTTGCAGTAATGGGGTCCTATGGTCAATTAAGATGTCTTTCTGCTCAGATCTATTATAGGAACACAGATTAAGTCCTTAATTTACCCTTTTCGAGTGCAGGTTTCTCATCATTACATAAACTTGTTAAAATGCAGAAAAGGAGAAGGGATGTAATTGCCCTCTTTTCGAACACTCAGAGTGTGTTGTCTCCCATTATTTTTTCAGATAGTAGCCTGGACTGCCCAGGCTTGAATCCCAGTCCTTTCATTGACCTTGGCCCAATTATATAACTTCTCTGTGCTTCAGTGTTCTAATCTATGAGGATTAGAATAGCACCTACCTTAGGGCTGTTAGGAAAAATGAACAAGTTGTATATCTGTCTGTCTATCTATCCATCTATCTATAGATTTAGAACAATTGTCTGACAGACTGGCACTGAATAATATTCTCTATTTTGTTTTTTTATTCTGTAACTTAATCATTCAATAATTTTGAACATAATTCAGATGGTTGCCTTTTTCTTTCTCTCCATTTTAAACAAAACTTCATTTCCTGAGCATCTTTAGACACAAATTTTTTTTTCTTCTTCCTTAGGATAACTTCCAAATAGATTTCCAGAGCTGGCACAACTTGGCGAGAGGGTATGAGCACTTTAAAAGTCTTTGATGAATGAGGCCATGCTCTTTTCAAAACTTTAAACCAATTTATGCTTTCACTAGCAGTGCATAAAAACCCTTGTTTTACTTTTCTCTGCAAACTCTTTTGGGAGGCTGTCTTCAAACATGTCTAATGGAAAGTATATGCATTATGCAACACATTTTATTGAGCACCTATTATGTGCAGGCAGCTCTTCTATACCCTGGAGGTACAGCAGGATACAAGACAAGGTGCTTGCCTTCATAGACCTTATATTCTATGTGGAACCAAACCACAAACCCCATGTTTCCTAATGTGTGGGTGTTATTAAATGTAATTCAAATCAAAAGTTCTGGGGCCAAATATACTTGGAAAATTCTAGACTATCTCATTAATAATTAATTATAAGGAAGCGTTAAGGTTGCATAGCTGTAGGGCGCGGTCAGCTAACTGCCACGCAGCAGGAAGCTGAAGTAAGCTGAATCATCCTTCCTGTGGCCACTGCGCTTGCGCTAAGTATACTAATGAGGTTTTAAAGTAGCGACCTATCCGATGCTGGCTCACAAGTCGCACCATCGGCGAAAGCCAATCACAGAGCGACACATGTTCTTAATCCCTATATAAGCAGACTGCTATAGGATTGCGGTGTCTTCCTTCCATCTTTTCTTTAACCAAGCTGTGCTCCAATAAAGTGTGATACGAGAAGAATCTTGCGTGTGGCGACTCGTCATTCTGCTGGTCGGAGGCGGCTCGCCGCATTTGGTGCCGAAACCCGGGAACTTCGCGCCCTGCATGGAGGACCGATTCAGAACTCGACACACGGAGTGAACCGTCGGTGAGTAGTCCAGTCAGGATCAAGATCCGATCTGGGTGCCATCAAGACTGACGAGAATTGTTGAAGAAAACTTCAGAGAAGATGCTGAGCTGGATGTTCCTGATGATTCTTCCCTTGCTTAGGGCAGAGAATATGACGTTCTGGGGAATTAGCCGGACCTGGCCAGTTCCCATGCCGGTTCACTCTCAGAGCAGAGTTCTTCCAATATTTTATTCCACTAGTTGTGAAATGAATACGGCCTGTACCCAGCCATTGAATTATGACTGGGCACCGTATAATGCCAGTGATTTTATTTTGAATCGAAGTCTTTGTATTAGTTGGAATTCCACAAAGGATTGTATCCTTTTGGCCAGGATAACCTTGACCACTTGGAACAATCCACTTAGAAATAATTTGGTTCCATTGAATATGTTGAATGAAGCTTTGAGCAAGATAACTCAAGGCCACACTTCAGGTTCAGGTATAGGGAATTCCAGTGAAAATGAGATGAATATTACCACTTTAGTTTTGGAACATACAGGGATAGTTCCTTTAAGAAATAATGCTTTTGATAAAACAAGTGCCAACAGGACTGTTGTCGCCCCCTATTGTGAGCCAGTCACATCAACACCCCCAGTCTTTACCCCTTGTCAGGGGGGAACTTATGCTAAGTATGAACTTAGTTCAGGCTTTCAATTTTCCCCTGATTTAAAGTCCTATATGGGAAGAAAGGAAAAAGGAAATGATACTAATGAGACAAAAGGAAATGATAGTACAAAGTGGTATTTTGAAGGATGGCCATTTTATTCTTGGTTATTAGTTAATGAGGCAGGAGTAGGCATGGATATTTCTGCTTTGGCCACTTTACAGATGCCCTGAATAGGAGTGCAGAGATTGGAGAATTCCTAAAGGGAAACTGGTCTCAAGAAGCTGAACGGATGATATTTAAGCAAAAGATTCAGATTATGCAACTGAATGCTACCAAGCTGGAACCCGTTACCTTTGGAGATTTTACCTCTTGGCTCTCTTCTGCCTTTTCCTTCTTTAAAGAGTGGGTAGGGGTGGGGATCTTTGGGCTCTGCTGTATATTTGGGATTATAATATGTCTCTGGTTGGTCTGTCGCATGCGCGTCAGGGCACATCGAGATAAGGTCCTACTCACTCAAGCACTTTTGGCTGTTAGTGAAGGTGATTCTCCCGCAGCCTGGATCTCCGTCCTAAACAATTCGAATGGATTGCCCTTGCACGGAGAGGCCCTGTTGCCATTGCACCTCTATAGGGAATCAAAACTTATTCTGAGTCAGCCTTTGCACCCTGCAGCCCTTGTTGGCATTGCACGCAGGAAGGTGTCTCAGACATGCCAACGGAAGGCTGCCCTCGAACAGTGAGCACATCATGAGGTGAACACTTGTACGGGCTACATTCTGCTTGGTGATTCTAGTAAATAAAAAAGGGGGAGATGTAGGGCGCGGTCAGCTAACTGCCACGCAGCAGGAAGCTGAAGTAAGCTGAATCATCCTTCCTGTGGCCACTGCGCTTGCGCTAAGTATACTAATGAGGTTTTAAAGTAGCGACCTATCCGATGCTGGCTCACAAGTCGCACCATCGGCGAAAGCCAATCACAGAGCGACACATGTTCTTAATCCCTATATAAGCAGACTGCTATAGGATTGCGGTGTCTTCCTTCCATCTTTTCTTTAACCAAGCTGTGCTCCAATAAAGTGTGATACGAGAAGAATCTTGCGTGTGGCGACTCGTCATTCTGCTGGTCGGAGGCGGCTCGCCGCACATAGCAACAGGGAGAGTCCCTCTATTTCCTTTGTATTTACCCCCATCTCACTTCAGCCCTTTGCATTTTGCCAAAATAATAGTTTGTGGTCGTTTGAATTTTAGGGTTTATCAAATGGTTGCACATGTATGGTTTCATTTTTATTTTGAGTCTCAGGATAACTCTAAGATGTAAGTAGTCTGGTACTCCCCTACTTTATAGGTGCTGAAACTTCTTGGATCCTGTTTGGGCAGCTTATCTAGGAAATGGCAGTTCTGGGTCTCAGGATGCATTTCCGGGCGTCAGATTTTGATGCCAGTGTACGCTGCTTACATCTTGGTGATCTGGACAATTGGAGAAACACAGAAGCAGCCCTGATGCCTGACGCCTCCACAGTCAAGCCTCCCTCCACCTGCTCATGGATTCCTGGGTGTCTGCTGAAATCTCACAGCAAGCAAAGCCCAGCAATGACCAGCCAGGACCTCAGAGACAAACTCTCACAAGGGACCCTGACAGCAGTTTCCCAGATGGGGGACTATCGAAACTTCTTAAATGCAAGAAGAGAGAATTTGAAAGAAAAAAAGAATTTTGTCCCACAGAAGAAGGGAAAAGACTTAGCACTTTACTTTTATAGTGCTTTCCTCCTGTACAAACTTAAATTGTTTAAAAAATAGTTATTTTATCTCTGAGGCTGACAGAGTCAAAGGGACTTGCCCAAGGCCACAGTCCAGGGCTACAGCATAGTGAAATCCAGACATCAAATCTCAGCTTTTTTGTTTTAAGCTGATTTTCAATTCAAAACAAATATATTTCTCACCATTTTATTTTCTCTTTAAAGGCACCATAGGCTGTCATGAAAACCAGCAGCGTGGTGTCATGAGACCCTCAATTGCACATGTTTTAAAAAGTGAAGTGATTTTCCCCTTGACCCAGAAAGAACCTTCTAAAACTCAGAAATCTGGATGAAGGTTAAGATGCAAAATGTTCACTGCACTCACTTTAAAATGGCAAAAAATTGGAAACAAATCTCTGAGCATAAGAGAATGGTTTTAAAAATGGAACACTGTGCAGCT